TCCGCTGTAGTCCTTATATTCTAAAAACATTACATTGTTTGGTATTTCTGCTTATTTTTATTGTTATATTCCCTAATAATCCAATTACCTACCTTGATACCATTCAAATTATATTCACCAACAGATTATATTTATTTATCATAACCAAGCCATACCTTTAACTCTACCCATTTACCAACCTTGCTCTAATTACCTTCTTAATCGTAGTATCCGCAGCCTCTATATATAATCCCCTTAAAACCTAACAATATTTACATTTATTTATATTTCGACTAATTTTTTTTTATTTAGTACCTAATAATCCATTTACCTACCTTCTTACCATTTGTATTATATTCGCCAATTTGAGTAATATTGATATGAAACTTTTCATATAACTCTACCCATTTTCCAATTTTTTTCTAATTTCCATCTTAATCATACAACCCACCGCCGCTGTATTTTATAATATACCCTTTATACTTAAATAATATTTACATTTATATATGTTTTATCTTATAGCAATACATAATATCCCATCTACCTACCTTCATACCATTCATACTATATTCACCATTATAAGTGAGATCATCATAATTATTCCACCTTTCATCCAATTCTACCCACTTTCCAATCTTTTACTCATTACCTTATTAATCATATGATCCACCACCACTATAAATATGAGTATATGTATATTCACCCTTTATAACAGATAAAATATTTACATTTTTTTATATTTCATCTCATTCAAATCCCAATACATAATATCCCATCTACCTACCTTCATTCCATTCATATTATATTCGCCATTATGAGTGATTTAATGACCACATTTGAACTGGTCATCCAATTCTACCCATTTTCCAATCTTTTTCTAATTTCTTTCTTTATCATACAATCCACCACCACTGAATTTTATATACACACCATCTATACTAATATCATATCTACATTTATTTATATTCTTCTAGACCCCCTGAACAAAACATAATATCCCATCTACCTATCTTTAAACCATTCATATTATATTCACCGTTATAAATGACTTATTTATAACACTAAAACCCTTTGTCTAAATCAATCCATTTGCCTTTCTTTATACCAAAATTATTGTAACACCCACCACCGCTAAACAATTTTAGAAATAATTACATCATCTCATCCTTATAAATATATTTCCATTTTCCAATTCTGAGACCATTATAATATTCGCCAAATTCAAAAATGTGTGCTTACTTCATAAAGTTGAAAAATAGATCTT